TTAACAACCGTCCGTTTTTAATTTTTTTTTTTTTTTTTTTTTTTTTTTTGAAGGAAATCACGTGTAAATTGCGCTCACTATTGTTTATGAAGTTCAGTTATTCATTCACATTCATTTTATATATTAATTATGCTTTAATTTTTTTGGAAGAGAAGTATATTCGAATATTCGCTTTGTCAATAATATTTCTAATCAACCCACTAGATCATTACAAATTCTGGGTTTTGGAACCCTATTACTATATATATGATACTTGAAGTACCACCTTATTCACTATTTATTATGTGTTTGGTATCATGTGGCAGTTTTTATGCCATATATGCTAAATCAATTATGTTGTATTTTCTTTTTCACTGACAAAATGGTGACTTTAAAATTGTCCCTCTAAAGTGGTGAACAAATAATAGTAAATAAGATTATGAGTTGCTAATGTTTGGTTCATGGATTAGAATCATAAGATTAAAATCATTTTCGATTTACGTGTATTTTTTGTGAGAGAAAATACTGTAGTAAATCATGAACCATGATTCGAATCGGGATACGAATCTCCCAACCAAACAACCTTTCCTTTCCGGAAAAAGTAAAGAGTTCGTATGTTATTAATTAGTAAAATGATTTGCAATTGCTTCCTTGCCACCAGAGAAAAAATACACAAGTATATTTATCTGAATTTGTCAGCAAAAAGAGGACAAAATTGTTTTAAAAGTTTCAGTTAAACAAGTTATACTTTTCATTCGTACTTAATGTTATTAATTAGTAAAATGATTTGCAATTGCTTCCTTGCCACCAGAGAAGAAAAATACACAAGTTTATTTATCTGAATTTGTCAGCAAAAACAAAGCAAAATTGTTTTAAAATTTGTAGTTCAACAAGTTATTATACTTTTCATTCAGTAGAAATTCCTGCTTGAGAAATTCAAATGCGTCACAACTTTTTTTTTTTTTTTTTTTTTTTTTTTTTGGGGGCCGAAGCATGTAGGTACTTTCTCCATAATCCTTGGACTTCAAACCCGGTCAAATTTCGCATTTGTTTGCCATACATCTTCAAACTTTTATTTTAGGTTATGGGGAAAAAAAATTAGTCAACCCTTTTCAAATTAATACAACAATTTCTTTGTTCACACCTTCAAAAAATATTATTGTGTTCACACCTTCACGTGAAATACGACAATTTCTTCGAGTCCATGCTAGTTAAAAAAAAAAAAAATTTGTTACAAACGTCAAACCTTATGTATGTGAGTTGCGAGGTAGATGCGTAAAAATTGCATCGGTTTGTACATATCTCATACGTCACAAGAAAAGATTAATTATCAAAATTTATATATACAGCCTTTGAATAGTTTTAGGCCCATATTTCGTGAGCTGTTCACGCTAAGGAAATTTTAGCAAAAACATGTGTTCTTCATGCTGGCAAATCCATAATAATTGCAAACTGTATTATGAAAAATATATCTGATTTATTTTCCTCCTCACAATGTATGAATTAAGGCAGAGACTTAAAATTGTGGGGGTATTGTGAGGGACATGATACTAGTCACGCTTTCCATATTTTTGTGCTCCAAAAAATGTTTCTGGTTTTATTCTTTCTTTTTCTTGAAGTAACAAACAAGAGGTCCCGTTACCTAATACCTTAATCCTCCACGTTGAGAGTGATAGAAGGGGAAAGGGAAATAACATTGATGGTGTTTTGGGAAGGCACATAATATTTTTGTTAGTTACACGCAAATGCACGTTTTGTGTAGCGCCATAAAGCCTTCATATAAAGAAGTAGGAAAGAAACAACACTAGTTTATTTTATTTTATTTTATTTTTTATTTTTTTAACATGATTAAAGTAATTCACTTTTCAAAGTATAGCACAATGCCTTCAAGATTCACCAACGAAATAAAAAAAAAAAAATAATATGAGACTCGCGAACTATTATTTTAATCACAATTTATCAAGATTTTCAGAGTAGGATTAGCATGTGAATCTTGTGGGATAATCACTATCTGAACAGTTAAGCACTTTTTATATAAAACACAAGAAATTGGGATATAAAAAGATTTTTTTTTTTTTTTTTTGGCTCAGATATAAAAAGATTCTTTTAATCCAACCTGAAATCAGTTTAATTAAAAAAATAATATATGGGTATTTTTGTAAATTCGACATCAGAAAGCAACAAAATACTCCTCTCAATGAAGAAACTATTTTTAGCTTCTTAATATTTTTAAAAAATGAGGTGGAAATCTGACCGAAAAGATCGACCATATCAAACACGTTTCAGTTAATTTTTGAGCCAAATTAGAAAGTCGTCCAAGTGCAAAATATCCCTTGCCAATCACGTGCTTTTTTTTTTATAGCTAACCCTATAGAATAACAAGAATTCCCACTCACCAAATGTTTCCTCCTCTTCTTCCTATATAAAAGCCCTTTGACGCAGGGCTGCTCTGCTTTTCATCACACACAGCAAACCAAACCAAAACAAACTTTCTTCTTTCTCTCCATACTAATGGAGTGGATTCGCGGAGAAGAAATCGGCCATGGAAGCTTCGCCACAATCAGCAAAGCAACACCCACAAAATCATCTTCTCAATTCCCTCCACTAATGGCTGTCAAATCCTCCGAAGCTTGTTGTTCAGCTTCGTTGAAGAACGAGAAGCGAGTGCTTGATACGATCGGACTTTGCCCGCAAATCATTCGATGTTTCGGCGAAGAACAGAGCGTCGAAAAAGGCGAGGAGTTCCACAATCTTTTAATGGAGTACGCCTCGGGAGGAAGCTTGGCAGACAGAGTCAAGAGCCAGGGCGGTCGTTTGTCGGAATTGGAAATTCGCCGCCACACGAAATCGATACTAAAAGGGCTTTCATTCATTCACTCGAAAGGGTTCGTCCACTGCGATATTAAGCTTCAGAACATCCTTGTTTTCCACGACGGAGCCGCCAAGATCGCCGACTTCGGGCTCGCGAAAGAGACGGCGACGAAACGCAACAAGTGTGAGATAAGAGGAACTCCTCTGTACATGTCGCCGGAGTCGGTAAACGACAACGTTTATGAATCGCCGTGCGACGTTTGGGCTCTCGGGTGCGCGATGGCGGAGATGGCGACGGGGAAGCCGGTGTGGGACCACAAGGCGGGGGCGAGTGTTTGGCCGTTGTTGATCAGAATCGGCGGAGAAGAAGAGCCCCCAATTCCATCGGAGTTTTCCGAGGAAGGGAAGGATTTTCTCAGAAAGTGTTTCGTTAAAGATCCGGCGAAGAGATGGACGGCTGAGATGCTTCTAAACCACGCGTTTGTTGTTTCTGAGTATGATGAAGATTTTGATGAGACTGTTCTATCAAAGGAATCCAATTCTCCATCACCTTCTCCAAGATGTCCTTTCGATTTCCCCGAATGGGTTTCGGCTTCGGAGCCGGAGTTTTCGCCGGCATTCGAATACGTTTTCTCATCGACAACTCGTTTCCCTTCATCGGACGATGGAATTCGGAATCTGGTGACCGACGAGGCATTGAATTGGTCGTTTTCCGATAGTTGGGTCACAGTGAGGGATTACAACATCCTGCTGATTTTTATATTTTTTTTTCTTTGTAAATATTAGTACTAGGACAGACAGATTTTTTTCTTCTGTTAGTCTGATCTGAATCAAGTTTATTGATGATATTTCTTTGTACATAACATTTTTGATCGAGGTATAATATTATCTGAGGTATTTTTTCCAGCGAATTTTGAAAAAAAAAAAAATTATGGGTTGATATTTATTTTTCTCGAGCGTTTTCATGGTGTGCTATTTGCTATTTATTCTTTGCTTGACAACGACGGCTTTTGATGTTAACTTGTTTGGACCCAAAAAGTGGGTGAAGAGCCCCCTTGAACTGAAACTTGTACATATTCCTTTCAATTTGGTTCTTGGAATTGTGTCTTTCAACGGGTAAAAGTTTTGGGCTTAGACGCCTTTCTGATGCGAAATTCGTGATCCCATATTCAAAGTACTTAGCAGCAGACTTTTATTTACTGTTTACTTATTTATTTATTTATTGTTTTTTTTTCCCTGAGGTTTGTTTTACTATTGTTTTTGATTATTCACCCTTTTGTGCTTATATATTCGTTATTTTGTCCTAAACCAATCATTTGCACAGTCAATGAAGCAGTCATTCATGACTAATACGCACGTAAAAGACAGTTTTAAAAGTAACAAAAAGTTGACCCCAGTGGTCGTATTTCTATGAAAAATAATCTAGAACATCAATCTTTCTCCGTGTTTGATTGAGGATCGATGAGTTTCCATTGATAGTTATAGACTTCATAATGAGTGGAAATTAATAGGATCTTGGGTACATTCCCATGAAATTTTTCTACTCAGTCACGACATGTTTCCACGATTAGCTGGGAAAAAAAAAAGTTATTTTTCCATGATAGTAAGTTAGCAATAACATCATTTTATTTCTGCATTTCTTGAAACTGAATTTCCCTTTCTTTCTTCCCATAAAAAAAAAATCCTTTTTTTTAAGGGTAGAATTTCACTTTCAATCAATACAAAGTGGTCTCTGTATGTCGTTTATTTACACGAGGCAAAACGAGATATCGTTTAGTTGAAATTTATTTATAGGAGTATAGACGACATGTCGTGTATCAGCAATGGCTGAAAAGCAAGTTGTATAGGTTTATCGTGACTTAAATTGCGAAATATCAATGTTGCTTCCATCGATCTTTTATCATTGAGTGTTTTGTGACATGTCGTATTCCTTGTGCCGCATATGTTTGTTTATTCTTCAAGTGAAATTCGAAATGTGGTTGTTGCAAAATTCGACAAAACGGCATACTTTTTCACCGTTATGAAAAAGCGACATGTAGTTATTACTTGCAAAAGAAATGACAGTATGAACGCTATGCATGTCGTCCTAGATGAATTGAAATTTAGCAAAACGACACTAAAGATAGACGTTCATTTTTCGTATCATATTATTATTATTATTATTATTATTATTATTATTATTATTATTATTATTATTATTACTACTACTACTACTACTACTACTATTATTATTATTATTATTACTATTATAACTACTATTATTATTATTATTATTACTATTATTTATTTTATTTTTTTTAAAAGAACGGGAAAACAACCTCTTCCTTCGTTTGTTGTTTTTAGTTTTTAAGGATGACAATATTTCTTATGAGGACGGACTCCACCCCAATCGGGTGGGGATGGGAAACAATTATCGGGATGAGATGAGGACGAAAATAAAATTTAGTCCTCGATTCGTGATGGGGTGGGGCCGGGGAATTACTCCCCACCCCACGTCCGCCCCAATATAAATATATCATAATGCTTTGTCAGTATTCAAGTTTTTTGAACTATGATACTTGGAAAGAAATAGCGTGCAACTATGCAATGAAGATTGAAGTTGTTAGGAATAGAGAAGGAAAGATAATTTACATTTATGTTTTGATGCTTTTAAATTTTTTTCACTTATTCGTTAGTTATTACTTTTGGATTCAATTTGCAATATCTTAAGAATTGATTTTTTTATGGAACTTTTGATTTTGATCTAAACTTATAATGAATTTCAATTCTATTTTTATTTTAAGTTGCTAAAATTTTGAAATACATAGTGTTATATGATAGAGAATGAGGTGGGTGTTGACGGTGATTTCTCGTCAACAAAAACCGGCCGGGTTACCTATTGGTTTCCCTTTGGATTACCGGCCTATGTGTTGAATATGTGTGCAAATTTATTGTTTGGGGTGTATAATGTGTATAGTTTGAGATGTGCACAAATAAAGAAGACAATGAATTTTATAGTTGTTCACTCTGTAAAATTAGAGCTACATCCACTGTGGTTGTATATTTCTTTTTGAGGGGATTATAATTTACATCAATTGTTATCTCTCACTCTCTTTTTTCTCTTCTTGGATTTGAACCCCCTCTTCATAGGGGGTCTCCCTTCTTTTATATTGGGCTTCCTTCGCTGGGTGGGTTTCCCTCGTGGCAGAAGCACTCAAGTGCTCTCCCTTTTTAGGCCCAGACGTAGCCCACTAATCAGCACTGTTCACTCAGCCAATTAGTCTTCTATTACGGCTCTGTGCGTCCCTGTAACACTCTCCTGTCCCCTGTGGGGCGGTTTAAGATCTCGCAATTAATGCCTACAGACGTCCCCCACTTTTGTACGCAACTTGCCACGTCCTCCAGAGAACGTTCCCCTCATCGCCAGTGATGTTTAGCCCAAGCGTCCTTCTTGGTGGTTGGTTCTACGGTCGAGGGATCTTTGTGCCTTAAGCTCGACGGCACGATCTGTCGACGCCAGAAGGAATCATTGCCCTGCGTTTGGACTTCGTGCTTAGGCTCTTTAGAGCTGTAGACGTCGAGGGTTGTTGCTTGATGGGGAGTAGTTTAGGCCACGTGTCACTTTATCGTTCATCCAGGTGTCCGTCACATTTTCCCACACAACAGTGGGTATGGGAAAAGCTCTTCCAATGAGAGACCCTCGACTCTGGCCCCTTCCTTAAATAGGGATGGAAACTGAAATATGAATAATTTATTACTTTTGGATTCAGTTTACAATATGTTAAGAATTAATTTTTTATGGAACTTTTGATTTTGATATAAACTTATAATGAATTTCAATTCTATTTTTATTTTAAGTTGCTAAAATTTTAAAATGCATAGTGTTATATAATGAAGAATGAGGTGGGTATGAGAAAAACTCTTCTAATGAGAGACCCTCGACTCTGCCCCCTCTTTAAATAGGGATGGAGACTGAAATAGGAATAATTTAACATGGCGAGTATAGGGATGAGAAATTATCCTCCGCCCCCACCCCGCCCCATTACCATCCCTAGTTGTTTTTTAATCTGGGTTGGGTATTTGACTCTATACCTTGTCTCAAGATGGACGTTGACTTTGCCTTTTGAGTGGAGATTATATGTTGATTTTCTGGAGAGAATCATAGAATACATATCCCATATATCTTAAAACTTGCCTTCTAATCTGTTAGGGCAATCATCAAACGAGCCGTTCGCCTGTTGAGCCATGCCTGTCTACTTACCCAAATAAAACATGAGAAAGTATATTGAATTCAACTAGTCAGCGTTATAAAGAAGAGAAAAATGTATAGGTGTATTGTCTCACTTAGAAAATGAACGGGAATTTAAAATGGTTTATAGATATGGGGGACCTTATGATACGAACCCCGCCAACAATGTGACGGAACCCATAGCCAAATATGGGATTTCGATTCAAGCTTTTCAAGAATTGATGGAAACCGCGACCCGTTGCTTAGCAAAGCAAGAACCTTGGTATGGTGAAAGACGCCACAAACGAGTATGGAAAATCTGTTTGATAAGTCAAGTTTGAACGCCACAAGGGAACCTTGATAAGCTCGGAATAGTTTCGTCAAGAACTCAAGAAGAATATCTCACAATGTGAATAAAACATTAAAACTTATTTTATTAATCCGAATTTCAGCCTTAAATAGCCGAAAATGTGACGACCCTGCTCAGCGGCCGTCACTGTCGCTGAATTTTAACTTGTACTTAATGTAATTTTCTTAGAATTTGTGGAACATTTTTTTTAAAGTCTTATAGTAACATATACTATGAATTGCTTTCTTGATCGAAACATTCAAACCTTAATATATATATGATTATCAAAACATGTAGATATATCTAAATGTATATACCTACTCTTTTAAACCCTGCTTACTAATATCCATAATCCACAAAACAATTTAACTTATAGTTTCAGAATAATAATTAGTAAAACTATTTGTAACATAAAATTGATTGCGGAAATATTTGCAAGCGGTATCCATTTCTCGATCTCCACATCGTTCATCCACTCGCCGTCAGTCCATCAGGCATTATATGCCGGTTGCTTACCTACAGTATAAACATTCTATAATGAGCTTTCGCTCAGCAAGTAGAAACTATCTCTCGCAAAAATAACTGTAAGTTCACATGAATAAATATGCATGAACTGATTATGCTTAATTATGATGTCTTATCATAGTCTTATTATCTTATCTTATCTTTTTTACTGATGGGCCCGAGTGCTCGTACGACTTGCACGCAATCATCGGGACGTGAGGGTTTGCAAGGTCCCTAACGACACCGTGATTATAAACTGAACTGAATGCCTCCCTCTCAGAGGACATTATTATTATTTTTTTCTTTATTCTCCCTTGGGAGCCTGAGTTACCTCCCACTCAGAGGCTGGTACGGCACTCAACTGAGTTTTTCTTATAAGTTCCTCTTGACTTATTAAGGTGTATGCAATACGACATAACGTAGCATATTATAACATGGAATGTACTCAAACACATATTTTTCATGTGAAATGCTTAAGTCTATGCAGTATGACCTAGCATAGCATACATACTTTAACTGTACTCAAACACATATAATTCATGTGTACTGTTTATTTTAAAAATCTATTTATACTGTAGGCGAGATTCCTACTTACTTGATTTATAGAGCTGGAATTCACTTTTCACCAAACAACCTAGCCTCTTACTTGCTTACTTCTGAAAATGAACACCCATTAAGAGTGTGAGATTAACTGTCGTTTGCTATTCTATGTTAGCAACTTATGAAGGAAAATCTAACCTTTTCCTTAAGGCATGTATTCCTCTCATTTACTAATGGATAGTAAGGATCAATTTATTAAATCCTCAAAATCTTATTTTTCTTAATTGCCATTAACATCTAATTGCC